GCCAGCGTGCTGGCTTTGCCATCTCAACAATGGCAGCCAGCGTGCTGTCTTACCCACTTCAACTATGATGGTAGCCAGCGTGCTGGCTTTGCCATCTGGACAATGGCAGCCAGCAAGCTGGCTTCCACTGCCTGTTATAAGTGTTCAGTGTGAAGTGTTAAGTCGAGTGAGTTGAGGCAGTGTGTGGGTCTCTGTGTGTGCGTATCTATGTCTGTGTGTGTATGAGTCTCTGTCTGTGTGTGTCTTCGACTAAGTTGAGGCAGTGCATGGGTCTCTGTTTGTGTGTGTCAACCTCTCAAGAGAGCCGGGTGGTTGGGAGACATGACTCAGCTGCAGGGGCGCCAGAGCAGCTGCGAGAGATGACTCAGCCGCGAGAGATGACTCATCCGCGTACTAAAGTTGTACTGCAAAGTCGCCAGTTCTCAGCTTCCAGTTCCACAGATTCTTCCGCGTACTAAAATTGTACTACAAAGTCGCCAATTCTCATCTTCCAGCTCCCCAGATACTCCGTTGTACTACAAAGTCGCCAGTTCTCATCTTCCAGCTCCCCAGATACTCCGCGTACTAAAGTTGTACTACAAAGTCGCCAGTTCTCATCTTCCAGCTCCGCAGATACTCCGCGTACTAAAATTGTACTACAAAGTCGCCAGTTCTCATCTTCCAGCTCCCCAGATACTCCGCGTACTAAAGTTGCACTAGAAAGTCGCCAATTCTCAGCTTACAGCTCCATAGATTACTCCGCGTACTAAAGTTGTACTACAAAGTCACCAGAGGGTTACGCGCACACCCGGCACATCGCACTCTCGCCTGCATTTCGCGCACTCCACACGCACGATCTCCGTAGAGGGTTGCGCGCGCAGCCGGCAAATCGCACTCTCGCCTGCATTTCGCGCCCTCGACACGCACGATCTCCGTAGAGGGTTGCGCGCGCACCGGACAAATCGCACTCTCGCCTGCATTTCGCGCCCTCGACACGCACGATCTCCGCAAAGGGTTGCGCGCGCACCGGACAAATCGCACTTTCGCCTGCATTTCGCGCACTCGACACGCACGATCTCCGCAGAGGGTTGCGTGGGCAACCGGCAAATCGCACTCTCGCCTACATTTCGCGCACGATCTCCGCAGAAGGTTGCGCGCGCACCCGGCCGATCGCACTCTCGCCTACATTTCGCGCATTCGACACGCACGATCTCCGCAGAGGGTTGCGCGCACATCCGGCCAATCGCACTCTCGCCTGCGTTTCGCGCACTCGACACGCACGATCTCCGCAGAAGGTTGCGTGCGGACCGGACAAATCGCACTCTTGCCTGCATTTCGCGCACTCGACACGCACGATCTCCGCAGAGGGTTGCACTTTCGATTAACGCTGTTCGTCCCGCACTCCGCCTTTAAGAAAGAATTTATAAAGTGGAGAAATGTTTTTTTCATTAAGATATCTCCCGTGCTAGTTTTCCATACTCACACTTGCCTGCTCATTACATACTTGCATACGCACCCTTGCATATCATGGCATACTCACCCTTGCATACTTTAACACGGGCATACTTCGCACTTGGATGCTTTCGCTCTTGCAGTGTGTGTGTATGTAAGTGTGGAAGTGTCAGTGTGTAAGTGTAAGTGTCGAAGTGTCAGTGTTCAAAGGATTTTCCGGAAGAACCCTTCGCAATGCTTTCGGGAATAAAAAACTTTCTCAACATTCCATTAACAAAAACATAATGTATCTCAACAATCTTTATACATATATATATAAATCGAAAAAACATATCCTAAAATTTATAAATACCTTACATATCCAAATAATCGGACCTCGATATATCTTATAACTATTCTTAACAACATAACGACATATACCCTCCCAAAAGCATTTAACCACCTTATACTTAAATATAAACTAAATATAATTTAAATCAAACATCTTCCAAATCTCCCATAATTTTATACGACCCAATATCTCCTAAATAAATATTTCTATTTTCATTTAATAAACAACAAGAAAAAATACTAAAATAACCAAAACAACCAAAATATTCTAAAATTAAAAAAACCACAATTATAATTCCACATAAAACAAACCTACGAACAAATAATTACCAAAATTCGACCTAACAATAAAGTTTAAAATACTTTTAATTCTTTCTTAAATTTTTTTAATAATTATTTTTATATACATATAAAACATGTAAATAATCTATAAAACAATTAAAGAATATATTAATTATTATCATTTAATACTATATAATATTAATAATCAATATATCGCAAGAAAGATGTTCTTACCATGTTTTGAGGAGCGTTGCGAAACCCGAATGAAAAATAATTGCGATAGCTTAAGATTCCAAGCTATAAGCTATCTTACATGATATTTTTGTCAATTTTCTTTGTTTTGCTCGACCACTGAGGTTTGTTGCTCTTTCGACTGCCAATTCGAATCGAGTTGAGGTCAATTGAACCAAGCCAAAGTCACATGGGATATACGGCCTCTTTGCTGTCCAAAGACACAGATGTATTTTTTTAAATCCTTTTGGAGATCCAAGGTCTGAAGTTTAAGGTGTGGGTGGCTGACCCTGACCTTCGGCGAGCCGATCGCCAACCCACAGGATGGTGTAAAGCACCAGGATGGAACCAATAATGACCTGCAGGCGGCTATGATCTTTCGGTGCAAAACCAGTGAAAATCGAAAGAACCCTCTGTTGTAAACTCTACTCTCTGGCCAAACGTGCCGGGCTGACAAACGGCACTGTGAAGTAGTCTGCTTCTGGAGTCAACAGCCTTAGTTGACTTTTTATTCTCGCAACCAGCTGAGCGGCTGACCTGAATGAACATTCTTGAATTCTGAGGCACCAGGCCAGTCATCAAAATTGAAGTTGGGATCCCAAAATGCTGGAATAATTGTTCCAGCAGACTCAGGGGCACTCTCCACTGGCACAGCTTGAGGCACCTCTGCTGGCGCAACCTCCACAGCTGGCGCAGCTTGAGGAACCTCTGCTGGTGCAACCTCCACAGCTGGCGCAGCTTGAGGAACCTCATCATCAGCTCGCACAGCTTGAGAAACCTCAGAGTACATCTCCACACGCGAACGCTCAAGAAGCCTTCTTGCTTGGCCAGTCTTCTGTCTAGGAGCCAGGGTTGCAGCGGCAACTGCAGCGGGTGCAACTCTCACCTGGCGGTTGTTGGGAACGCTTTGAAGATTCCGAACGAAACAGGTCAAAATGCGACCATGCCTGTTTGACAGACAGGAATGCGGGGTGGGCACACAAGGCTGCTAGGCACAGCAAGATCGAGACCTGTTTGGCACTGAGATCAGCTTTTCGTTCACTTCAAGCCGCTTCTTCGGCTGAGAGCTCCACAGGCAGAAGTCGCGACCGCACTCCCGGCGCCATCCCTGAAGGAAACCAACCACTCATCCACGCAGTTTTTTCGCATGACATACGACATACGCTTTGAAAATGAGAAAACCTGCACCAAACATGTTTCTTTCTGTCCCAAACATGTCCGTGTAGGCCTCCTGTGATTGCGATGGCTACAACAAAACCGATGAGCTGAACAAAGGAACAGCAAGGCAGGAAGCAAAAATGCAACTAAGCTTCTGTGATGCGCTTGATCTTTCAGACAAACTACTTGTCAGGTTTCTTGATCTAAAGTCAAGAATCGGAAGTGCGCAACAAGCATGCTCCATTTTCCAGAAAGTCGCAAGCTTGAAAAGCACTCTCTTAGGAAGTGCACATGTTTCGCCAATCATTCAAATCTTCATTCCCCTTCTCTTCAGTAAACGCGCAAAGCAGCGAGAGAACCGCAGTGAACAGGAGCACAATTGCTGCCTGAGTGATTCGCGTTGCCTTGAAGGAATACCGATCATCTTAAATTCGCAGTTCAGTTCAGAAAACTCCTGCAAAAAAAAGAAAGAGTAGCGACTCATCCAAGGCACGAAAAGGATTTTCAACTGCGCCTCCTCCTCGGTGGGGTCCACCTCCATAATGCAAGCATCCATCGTCTTGTCATGCGTCACCTGTGCAGAAAAGAATGACAGCAAGCCATAAACAAGCTCAAGCTCTTTTGGATTGTGCCTTCGCTGGTTAGGATCCCCTCTAGCGGTTTCATGGCATCGGCCTGCGTCTTTGGTGTGCGAGGATACCAATGTGAATACTTCTCCACATCCAATGAGAAGCAGCCTTGGCCAGATGGCCTGAAGGCGCGGATTGTACTCGATGCTGCTTGCCACTTTGAGAAAGGAGGAACCTTCGTTTCTTTGAAGGCAAAACGTAAGATCAAAGTGGTCATAGCGCACACCTAATTGATTCATACGAGGGGGTAGACTTGCCCTTGTTCTCCAACCTTGGCATTGACGGATGCATAAATCACCTTGTGGTTTTCAAACCGCACCAGTTACAAACACAAAGAAACAAAAACGATCTATCTAGAACAGATCAAAACAACAGATCAACGTAAATCACTCACAATTTGATGGTGACATCGCCAGCTCCAAGCCTCACAGCTTCTCCTAGTGCCAGCACCAGCGCGAATTGGTCGATGGCATGGAGACCATTCGAGGCCATACAACTGGAGGGACAAGGAGGTATTGTCCTTTGACGCCGGCATACATACGGCATGTATCCAGCGTGCAAAGAGAAAAGGAAAAAGAAAGGACGAAAGGATGAACACAAAAGAAGAATGGGACGCTTTAAAGAGCCCAAAGAGAAAAAAGGAACCACAAACCCAAAAAACACCTTGTTCCTTTCAATCCTTTCCTCCGTGGGTGTTTCAGCACAGATCTGTCCTTGAGAGTGTTCGAGGCTGGTCCATGTACCTTGGAAGTCTGACTCAAGAGACCAAGCCTGACTTGACACGGAGCAGTGAATACCCACCCATTAATGAAATGGTCAAAAAACGCTTCTATCAGTCTATCAGCTCCGGAAACCTCTTGTTGCAGTGTTTGCTTTCAACACATGGCTCAATCATTGACTTGATCGAGAACTGAGAACACCAAGAACCAGATTGACATCACCTTGCCACAAGGCCGTTCGTTCGCTTGGGCTGCTTAAGGTTGTTCAATCACTTCCAACAGAATAGGCTGTTCGGAAGTGGAGCATGTTCGTCAAGAAGCCACCCCTTTCATGCTCCAGTTGTATCGATCCTAAACCAAAGACATTCGGAAACGCCTCTCATCCTCGTCTCATCCTGGTCTCACCCTCACCCGGCGCGCACACGTGTGCCCCCATCCGTTTCCACGGCGCGGTGCCACCGCATCTTGCTCTGGAGCTGTGACACGCTGAGACTTGTGTGAGGGCTCAGGTACACAAAGTCGCCCAGCAGGCCCGGGCATTGAGGACCCGAGGAATTCATCCGATACTTCCTCAATCGCAGAGCTGCCCACTTGGAGTGGCGGTTGACCTATCTCACAAATAGAACACATGGAGATCCGATTCAATCTGATTCAAGGATCTGTGCTGCGATCCAAAAGTGCTGTGCCTCTTAAATGACTTTTGACGGGAGGAAGTCATGAAGTTGGGAAACTGCTAAGCAAACATGTCGAGGTAAGAACTAGCTTCGACAAAGAAGCAGAAAGGAGAAGCTCGCAGCCGTGGGCTGGTGGATACATGTGAAGGGAAGTCAGTCTTGCTTCTCAGAAATACTTGTCCACCAAACTGGTGACACAAATGGCCTTCAAAAAAATTACTGGCACTCCAAACTTTTCAAGAGATCCTCACTTCAAGGAAAACAACGCACAGGAACCGCTCGAAAACGATGATGAACGACAAGATTCACGTTGGTGACAGGTTGTCCGTCCGCTGTTTCACCTTGCCAAAACCGGTCCACCATATAGATTGCCTACGCATTTTCAGGGCTGATGGGTTCAACCCCGACGCAGACGGCTCCAGACGCAGATAGAGGAGGCGCCCGGACAGGAATCTGGAATTCTTGATCAGCAAGTATAATATGAATTCTAGAAACCGACCCTTACATCGCTACTCGGTTGGAGGCCATCGTCATTGGGTTGGAGGCCATCCATTCCTATTAGGTTGGAGGCCATCGCTAGTAGGTTGGAGGCCATTGCTAGTAAGTTGGAGGCCATTGCTCGTAGGTACAGAAACACATACAGTAATCTTACTACTTACTATCTGGTTTCCCCAAAAAGTTCTAGGACTCTAGGAACCACTACCTCCAAGCCCAAGAAGCTCCTCAAGCTAAGGAATGACCCCCTTAGCGGTTCGTCCTCTTAGCGGCCCCCCTCTGCCTATAGGTCTTGGAGCAACTGCTTATTGTTTCTAATAGCTTCTTGTTACTGCTACTAAGGCAGTTGTTACTAGTAGCGATGCACTTGTTACTAGTAGCCAACATTGTTTCTAATAGCTTCTTGTTACTACTAGTAAGGCACTTGTTACTAGTAGCGATGCACTTGTTACTAGTAGCGAACATTGTTTCCAATAGCTTCTTGTTACTACTAGTAAGGCATTTGTTACTAGTAGCGATGCACTTGTTACTAGTAGCGAACATTGTTTCTAATAGCTTCTTGTTATTACTAGTAAGGCACTTGTTACTAGTAGCGATGCACTTGTTACTAGTAGCGATGCCCTTTGCTCCTAATAGCTTCTTGTTACCAGTAAGGCACTTGTTACTAGTCTTGATGCACTTGTTCCTGCACGCGCGCCCCAAAAGGTCCTAGTAGCCTCCTTTGCTACTACTAGTGAGGCACTTGTTACTAGTAGCGATGCACTTCTTCCTACCCCCACCTCGCGCGCACGCGAAAAGGTCCTAGTAGCCTCCTTTGCTACTAAGTTTAATTCTGTTTATTGTTACTACTAGTAAGGCACTTGTTACTACTAGTAAGGCACTTGTTA